CAAACCCAAGGTCAGTGCTGGCAGATCACCAAGAAACTTCACTAATTTACAGCAGCTGAATAGCAAAATAACAAGGCATAGGGAAAAAAAAAACTATTGCTTTAAATAAGACAAAGACTTTTCTTTGATTCCATCAGGGAATCGTGGATCAGCAGAACAGCTGAGGCTGGAAGAGACCTTTGGTCCATTCCCCCTGGTCTCAGCAGTGTCAACTGCAGCAGGTTGCTGAGGTTTGTTTCCATCTGGGTTTTGGTTATCTCCAAGGATGCAGAAGCCACAGCCTCTCTGGGGAACCTGTTTCACTGCTCAATTACCACAGCAGGGAATATTTTTGTCTTCTATTTACCTCGAAGCATTTACCCATCAGTTTGTGCTTGTTGCTTCTGGTGTTGCCTCGACTGAAGAAGGTCTGGCTCCATCTTCTTTATTCCCTCCCACCACACATTTATGGGCATTCAGAAGATCCCACTGACCCCTTCTCTTCTCCAGGCTCATTCCTCCCAGCTCTCTCAGCCTTGCCTCACCAAACACCCTTAATCATCTCTGGGGCTCTTTGCTGGACTGGTTCCAGTACTGCGGCATCTTCCCTGTACTGGGCAGCCCAGAGCTGCACTTTTAACATGTATTTCCTTAGCAGTGCAGTGCAGCCCAAAAATGTGGCTTCAAAACCTTCCCTGTCCCTCAAAGGGTTTTCTCACAGGGTTTTGAAGATGAATTTTTTCTCTTTGGTCCATTTTTGCTGGCCCAACCCCCCCCTTGCCCATTTCAATGAGGATGTGTCTCAAACAGAGTTGGTTTAATGTGTTCGTGGACATCAGGCAGCACCACAAACAAACCACTGAATCACAGAATGGTTTGGATGAAAAGAACCATAAAATAATCTTGTTCCATGGGCAGGGACACCTTTCACTGTCCCAGACTGCTCCCAGCCCCAGTGTCCAGCCTGGCCTTGGGCACTGCCAGGGATCCAGGGGCAGCCCCAGCTGCTCTGGGCACCCTGTGCCAGGGCCTGCCCACCCACACAGGGAAGGATTTCTTCCCATTGTTTACTCCAAACCTACTTTTTTCCAATTTTCAAGCCATTCCCCTTGTCCCGTCAGTGGCTATCACAACAATAACCTGTAACTATTACAACCAGATCACACCTCTCCTTAACAAGGAATACAAGTGACACAGCATGTCACACAATGCTCATTATTTTTCAGTATCTGACCCTGAGCCACATCATCATCCTGTCTGCCCACGACAAAAGTTATTTATTAGCACTTGAAACACATTCGTCTCAGCAGCAGTTAACCCGAGGCTCTGTGCCTCCTGGATGCCAGGAAAGGGGAAAAGCAGGAGACAGACAGTGCAGGTGTTTCTGCAATTCCCCAAGTGTCCCAGCCCTGATGAAGGGATGCGAACCGCCCTTATTGAAAAACGTACAGAGCGCACCGCTCCCTCACAGGGTTGAAACTGCGTGCTTCTGGAAAATCCCAGCTGTGAAGAATCACCGAATCCCACATCCCCGGGGCTGGAATGTCCCTCTGGAGCTCCCAGCCCAGCCCTGCCCATGCAGGGTGCCCTGGTGCATCCCACAGCAAGGTGCCCAGCTGGGGCTGGGATGGCTCCACACAGGGACGCTCCAGGCCCTCCCTGGGCAGCTGTTGCAGGGCTCTGCTGTCCCTCCATGCACACAAGTTCTCCCTCCTGCTGCCCTGCCCCTCGCTGCCCGCCCTTTGATGGCCGCTGCTGCTGCTGCTGGCACTGGCAGCACCGAG